TATAGGAAACCATTTTTTTCCCCAGACAGAAACAGATCATGTTTGTGAGCAAAAGCAAGTCAATTATAGGGGGTTTTATGTTTTTTTAAAATTTTTTTTATAAACTAAAGTTTATTTTTCTAGAAACATATCTAATATAATGCTAAGTAAATATTAAGTGAGAATAAGGATCAATGTATGTGATAATATTGTGAATTGAAAGACTAAGTTCACAGCCTTTAGATATCCTTATAAATTCTGTTACATGTTTTCAGTCCAAAAACAATCAGTGTTATACGACAAAATCCTGCCTCTTCAGTCACAGTTTTCTTCTAGGTTTCAGGCTTGAGCCAGTTTGAAACTTGACTAGCTGGCCTGCCACGTATACAAACTATTGTGTCTAATTTATTCATTTACAATGGAAAATCTGGGGCCAGTGCCCAGTATGAATATTCATGCAGTTGTTACTCTCTCAACCTATGACCACATACAGCTTTTTATGTCTAACTAAAATTTGGCATTAATAACACCTTATGTAAAAAGCCTGTATCACGAAAGTTCCCTCTGGGATTAATTTGTGTCATCTCTTTCCAATTGTTTTACATATTTTTCTTTAGATTATACACGGGAGTCACATGAATTGAATTCCCATAGGGACTTAGGGGAGAAATTTTTGAATTTACCTGATTAGGAGATCTTCCACCCAAGCTAGGTCTTGACCCCATCTACCGTTGACCCTTAAAAACATGGCAGGTAGGGGTGCCCACCACAACAGTCAAAAATCTACATAAAACTTCTGACTCCTCGGGAACTTAACTACAGGATTATCCCTCAGAACCTAGGGGGCGGATTGGTTCTAGGGCCCCCTGTGAATGCCCAGCCCCACAGATGCACGAGCCTGCCATGTAAAATGGCACAGAACAGCACGTACAGTAGGTCCCTCACATCCTCGGACCTCCCCCATAGATCAGAAACGGGACAGGAATTTATGAAAACAATCCACAAGTTGACCCACGCAGTTTCAAATTTGTAATATTCAAAGGTCAACTTACATCTAAGCAAAAGGAGACCACAACTGAAATGGAAAGAAAGACAAGATAATTTAATGTTCGCAAGCCTGGGTACAGGAACAGTTTTTGAGTCCGTAAGAGTTTTTGCCTCCAGAACTTCACTCAGTAAGATATAATGCCACTGGGTAAGGAAAAATCAGCATTTGAGACATTATTATGCTAAGTGGCTGAGGTACCTGGAATAGGCAAGACATACATGAAAATCCAAATTTATAGTGGGAATTTAGACTCTTAGCTCTTAAGATGGTAACTATAAATGTCATAAATCCTGCCTCTACTTTGGGTGTCAGCATTCAAAGATCTCAAATATTCAGTAGAATTTTTTCAATATATTATTACTTCAGTAACCAACAGAATCTGTAAATTAGTATGCTAGCTGTCTTCATTCAAGCACCAAATAGTGATTCTGTCAAAGGAAATCTGGTTTTTAAGGGGATATTCATTTGGAATGGTGGTTCTATCATAGCCATGATTAATAGGCAGAGAGATCTCATTTAAACTAGAGACAGTAAATGAAAAAGAGATTCAAAGATATAATTAAAGAATTTTATCCTGTTTTTAAATATACATACAAAGATGATGTAGATCATTACATGGTAGTAATCCACTGTGGTTATATTTATACAATGGAGGAAATAAAAATGTTTCCAGTGAAAATTTGTGATTAGTTAAATTAACTCATTATGTTTTCTTTACATCTCAGAAAGTAAAGCTATCCTATTTTTTAAAAAATAAATTAGTTTGCTTCATGGCACCTTGTAGATATAATGTTAGTGCCCATTCGCTGCCAACTAAGACTCTGCGTAAGTGGAAGGACATGAAGAGCAAGAAGAGGGCAGAGATTTGTTACCTTTGCTTTTGCTGCTGCTGGCTGCTCCCTCAACTAACAAAACTGACTCCTCTGTAAGGGGCCTGTAACTGGGCAAGTTCGTGTTCCTTGATCTGGAAAGAATGCTTCAGAATAATATCTTCCTGGCAACAGGAAGTGGAACAGGAAGCATTGACAACTTCTGGTTTGGGATAGTGTCCCAGAAATCAGTGCTAAGGCATCCAAACTTAGGGAGTCTCTTGGCTCCACAGAAACTTCTAGATATTTAGTTTTAGGACTCACAGCAGATGCCAGAAACAGCAACTGCATCCCTGTTTCCTAAATCCTACCTCCAGGGCCCTGATAAAATGCTGTCCTGTTCCCTCCTGAACCCCTTTACCCCTCATCAGCCAAATGCTGCTTCGTGCCCTGTAGCTCTCTTATAGGTACCATTTATCACTTCTTACTTTTTGTATGTTAGGTATTTATGTATGTGTCTCATCCACTGAGCCCGACTTTAAACTCCTTACACACGGAGGGTGCTCAGTAATGTGTATTGATTCAGGCAGGTCTGTGTTCTCTGGGTGCTCTGCTCTGAGGCAGCGCAGTACTGTTATGAGAAGACCCGGGTGCTGAATCACGGCGCTCAGACTTTCAAACCCGCTTCCTCATTTATACAGGGATAAAAAGATCGCTAAATCAATACTAGCCATGTTGAATGGATTCCTACATAGCCATCTTGTGTATTCTGACAAATACTGCTGGGCACTAACCGGCAGTTTGCACTCTGAATACACTGAATACAAAAGTGCGCATTCTAATGAGAAACACAGTCTCCCAACTAGATGAATCCAGTGTGGAAAGGGCTGTAAACATAGCTCATAGCAAATACAGTGCATCAAGAAGGGAGTGACTGGTTCTGTCTGATGGCTAGTTCAGGTCAGGGGACCCAGTCCTACAAGGTGAGTCCCAAGGGAGGTTCTGGGACCCTCAGAGGTCAGGAGGCTGAGTGTGCAGAGCCTGTGTGATGACACCAGAGATATGTGAATAAGACAAGTCAGTATCTTTCCCTTCCCTCTCTTGCAAATTGAAGACCTTCTCTTTCTCCCTAGACTCTCAACTAGCTGTGAGTAACTTTCTACAAAGCACACAGGGATTCTTTTTTCATGACTTTCAAATGATATAGAAGCACTTGGCAAAAATCTGCAATCAGTTCATTTAGAACAAAACATTTAAACTCGGCCACAGAATGTGCAAAGTAAAATTCTCGTTATCAATGAAACTCCATCTGAGATTATGATGGTAAAATTCTCTCAATCCTGATATTTCTACATTGAATCACTTCAATATGCACTGAGTGCCCGGGGTGTGCCAGCACTTGCTCTGGGAGTTGGGAGTCCAGCCCCCAACGCCCATCAGCCTCCTCTACTGACCTTTATGAGAAGCAAGATGCAAAAGTCGGGAAAGAGCCTGACAGCACTGTTTTCACAGTGATATTTACCAAGCATTCAGAGACCAAAAGTGGAACGGCTGAGTGAAGCAGAGAAATGAGATGTCTTTCTGGACAATCCAGTAGGGAATTCCTTTTGGGAGGGGCAGGGCCCAGACTCCTTCCCACATCATCTGAATAATTTAAGCCCTTCTCTGAGCCCTCTTTACTCTGACCATAATGTGCTAGGCATTTTGAAAAGCAATAATACAAAAATAATAATTTCTATTTTCTTCTCCAGGAGAAAAAGCTAATCCTGAATCCTCACGTTTCCAAAATGATTTAGAAAATCTAAAGTGGTGCCAGGTTTGCAAAGTGATAAATGGGATAACTGAGAATAAGCTTTTATAATACCTCTTACTTAAGTGAGGTTTCCTTCTGAACTTTTTTTTAATGAAAGCTTACCGGTTACATTTTTTCATATTAAAGTTATTGTTTTAAAGTCATGCCGTGACCAACAGTGAATTACTTACTAGTTTAGATGATGATTAACTTTTATCTGTTGGACAAAATACCATTACTACAGCAAACAACAGTGCCAACAGGATTACTTACTAGTTTAGATTATGATTAATTAACTTTTATCTATTGGATAAGAATTTATTGAGTACCTACTATGTGCCAGGCTCTAGAGATACCAAGGTGGCGTTCTAGGTATCAGGAAGGGCCATAATCTGATAAATAATTCTAATACGGTATAGTAAATACACTCACGTAAACATTTCCAATAATTAGCAGTGACAAAGAATGCACTGTTGCCTCCTTGGAATGAAGGAGTTAGGGAAGGCCTTGAAAAGGAAGTGATGTGAGCTGTGTGGAAAGATGAAGAGGTGAGTTGTAAACATCCAAGGTGTTATGACAGAGAATGTACTATTGATGTTTGAGCATATACAGTTGAGTCCAAGTTGAAAGGTACCTTACAGGTCTTCTGACCCAGTGTCCCAGACATGAAATCCCTGACAGGGGATTTCACACAATGTGACTGGGGCACAGCATCAGATTCCCCCCCAAAGCAGGGGTCAGCATGGGTTTAAACTGCCTAGGGCACCTGTCCATCATTTATATCTATTTTGTATATTAGTTTACATAGGTTTTCACTGGGGAAAAATAATACAGTTCCACAGCTAAAACCCACTGGTCCACGACAGAGGGCATGGGTCCTGTGGGAGAGCCCCATATCTGTGTCCTTAGGCAAATGAAATTAAAATGTTTAATGTAGGAGAAATTGATCTGTCCACTGTAATGCACTGAGCACATTTAAATTATTTTTAAATCATTTGGGACTAACTTCCTTCATTTAAAAAATTAGAGTGTTTCACCCAGAAGTCTCAAGTCCCCTGTAGCTCTGGAATTATATGATTTTGTCATTATCCAGCTTTCCCTTGACTATTTCTAAAGACAAGAATGCTTTTACAGTGTACTACTTTCCTGTGCTTTTGACAAGACTTAACACTGAAATTGGAGCATCTTGTTTTGTGAATTATAACTAGTCGTTGGTTTTGGAGGTTGCAAATACTGACACACAAAGCTGAGACTGTGTGGTTTGCAGGCTGTGGACATTGAAATAGCTAGTAATGTTTTTTTGTTGCACATATGCCCAAAGTCGAATGCTTCAAATCTTGCTTTTAATAAAATATTTATGTTCTTTTGGTAGCCAGAAGTGCAACTTGCTGAAGGCTTTGATGTGTTTATGCCTAAATCTCAGCTGGACTCTATATTGTCAAACTACACTCGCTCAGGAAGCCTTCTGTTTAGAAAACTGGTGTGTGCATTTTTTGATGACAAGACTTTGGCTAACTCCTTACCCAATGGGAAGAGGAAAAGAGGACTGAATGACAACCGGAAAGGACTAGACCAAAATATTGTGGGTGCAATAAAAGGTTGGTCTGCATCATTTCATTTTGTGGGTTCTTTGTTGAGCTTTGCTTCATTCCATAAAGATGCAGCTGCAATTGTAGCAGACTGAGTGGAGGCTCGTTTAATGGGCCCTTGGCAGTCTACCCACTGGCATGGCTTTTGAGTGTGAGCTCTGTGACTCACCACCCCAGTTACCGCTAGAATTTGATAAATCAAGGTGATGTTCATCTGTTAAAATCATAATTTGAGAGCTAGTTTGATCTGTTGCAAAACCTGAAAGAAGCCATTTCATAATTGGTTTTAAAAATGAAAGTATTTTTCCTCTCAGTAATTTCTAGCCAAGAACTTCATCAAATATGATTTCAACTTAAATTTTTAATTGTAAATAAGAATAAGGCTATGATGCTTCTTTTGAAAGTAAAGATAAATAGTTCTCACCAAAGGTCAGAAGTTGCTTTTAGAAGGTCGCTGCTTCTAAAGACATTTTAAATGTAAGTGACCCCACTGTGAAATGAACCCTGTGCATCTCTACGCTCTCCTGGGCTCCTCCGCTCTCCTGGCCTGGCGACATGAAGTCATGCCAGTTACATGCAAAGAAGACCATGGGTCTCTTCCCTCCCACCTGTGAAATGTATGTAAGTTCTGCTGCATTACAGTAGCCATGCAGGTGCATGTGTGAGTAGATACTCACTTACATCTAGTTCCCTGTCCTAGACCTCTTTTTAATTTTAAAATGTTCTCACTTAGGTCTCTGATAAATGTTATTATAGGTAATAGAAGTATATAAATGTTGTTTTTAAATGACTGTAAATAAATTCTCAAATATAAATACAACTACCATGAAAATGAAATTGTGGATCAGGCCTTAATACCAGAGTCACCGCCTCAGTGCCTCCATTATGGCTTGTGGACCGGGCCTGGATGCAGAGGTCCTTTTCTCCTGACCCCTGTTCCCCATCACTCTGTGGAATGAGTAAATAATGTAATAGTACTTAAAGGATACTGGGAAACCCCCAACTAACTTTACAAAATAATACAATTTTTAAATGGAGTCAGCAAGCTCCAGACACTCTTTGTTCATGTCCAGAAGGACAGAAGCCTTCATTAACAGAAAAATTTTCATTCTCCAACAGAATATTTTCTACTTAAAAGTAACAGTGGAGTTCTACTAAGTAAGAAAAGCTACAGAGGTATCAAAGTCAGTGGCATTTCTGAAAAGAATGATTCAGCCTGAAGTGACACTAAAAACAAGATTACAGAACTTGAAAAATGGTCAGTGATGTAACTAGGACCTGCTGAAGTGAAGACAGTCCCGTCTCGATTTAGTATGGCTGGGGCCTTCTGGAACATGAAGGTCAAGGCTGATGATGCTTTTCATTGCTGAAGCTTTTAAACAGCTGAAAGGTAGTTGGTATTTGCTTGAATTTTTTTTTCAGGATGGTATATTAAGATTACAAAAGTGTTTGGAAATTGGGGAATCATAAATGACCATGTTCCAATTTAATAATAATAGAAAAATTGCCCTAATAATAGATGGTAATGAAATATATTCTTATAAGTAGACTAATATGGGTTTACTCCATCATTTTCAATCTAGACTGGACATTATACAATAGTTTGAAAAAATGTATTACAAACAAATAGAGAAAATGCCTTAATTTTCTTCACAGCCCTACTCTTTACCAAGAAATAAATATGGCAATGAGGCTTCTGCTCCCAATGTGTAATAAAACAAATCATTCAAATCAAAGAACTTAAAGGGTCTTATAGAGACCCTTCTTATATTGTTGAATTCAGTCAGCATTAAAGTTCTTTCAGAACAACAAAATAACTATGAAATAAGACAGATATCTCCCCATAAGCCACTAACAACCTAAGTCAACAAGTATTGTATATTTTTACCTGACTTATTCTGATAATTTCTTGTAAGCACTTTGAAGACAAGTTTTGTCTTACATATTTTTATTACTTGTTGCACTTCCTTGAAAGTTTTATACAGAGTAGGGTTTCTGTAAATGTATGTTGGGTGATTGAATGCATGCACATAGGTTCTTAGTTTTCATCTTGACTTCAGTCTTAATTTATTGACCTAAGTAAGGGTCTAGTACTGAACATGAATCCTCATGTCTTCTCACAGCTGATTTGTAGTGATTAACATCAAAACAGTTATAAATTTTTACCAGTTAATAAAATGCCATGAAAGAAAAATAAAGGAAACCAAAGTTGAATATAAATTTTAATGCACATCTTTTAATTCCCTAAAACTTTTTCTTTACATATTATACTTGAAAAGTTTATTAACCCACATATTGCAATATACAGTGATTTTTAGAAGTAGCTATTTATTGAAGGTCTTTTAGAATAACTATATTCAGTTTTTGTTGCTATTAGTAGAGATAAAAAGAAACATTTATTTCCCTAACCCAAGCCTTTTGAATCTGAGCAAACTTGGAAAATGATAAAATAGTTTCTTTCTACATAATAGTGGCAAGGCTGCTTGCGTTACTACTGCTGTCTACCACATACTTTTGAAAGATTTTACAAATATTAAACATTCAGTCTCTCTTTCTCTGGCCTTTGAGATAGCACACCGAGACTGTAGTAGTGCGAAAAGTTCTGCAACCTAGGAATATGTGAAATCGGGCAGATTTTATAAAATCTACAGTGAAAATAACAGTGGAGGCTGGATTTTGTTTCAAAATGACTATGATAGGTTAGCTAAGATAACAACGCAGAAAATGGTGAAGGAAAACTTGTAAAATGCTTATAAATAGGAACAAAAAGGGACTGAAAAAGAAAATAGTTTATGTGCAATAAAGACAGAGCTCTCTGTGATGGTAATTAATATTCCCCATGACAGTACTTTGAAAATAAAATATAATCACCTTTGTAGAGATCACATTTTTCAGAGTCTCATCTGTTATATGGTAGGTAACAGTTATGGGTAACTCATTAAAAATTTCATTTATAGGTAGGGCCCAGGGATCCTTAATAAGAAACACTGCCAAACATTTTAAGTTCAACTAGGAAGAAGCAATATATTCCTTTATTAACTGGAGTGTGAGGTCTCAGTCCTGAGGATAGTTTAGCATCTTGGATCTGATTCGAAATTGATTTCACAGCCAGAACACAGTAGAGGTTAGTGTACCCAGTTATGTTCCACTCGCTTCATGCTGTACCTGCTGAAGACCATCTGATTCTGCATATCTTGTCCAGGAGACCAAGAGTTTGAGTGACAGCCAGCTAAACAGTGATAGAATCATTGGCTGTCTGAGTGCTCTTCAGAAAATAGAGTTATGGCAAAGCAGTGTTTAGAACCTGGATTATGATTTTTAAATTCAGCTTTATAGACATCAGCTGAAAGTTTTATTAGTATCAAACTACACAAGATTCTTGAATCCTTACATTCAAAGGAAATCATATATGCTTGTCACGTGAAAGAACTGATCAGTAAAACTGCTCTCAGTTTTACTCTAGGCAATGCAGGCTTGCGGGACCTGTTGTCCTGGGGGGTCATCCGTGTGGTGGTCTGTCAAGGCACACAGACATCAGGGGTCAGAACAGCCCTGGGAGGCAACACTCCTTGGTTGGTGGTGCCCCCAAAACCTAACCGTGCTTCTTACCAGAGTAGAAAGCCCTGACTACATCTGAAACCCCCTTCCTCTGCTGAACAGACCACCAAAACCTCTCATTTCATTTCATCAACTCTCAAGACTTCTGGGGTCCGTATTTGTCATTTTAGAATAACTTTCTTTCCTATTTTTACTGCCTATCATTGTTCATTTCCTTGGATCTAATCAAGAAAAGTAAATAGCTCTTTTCTATCTTATCTCACATAGACTTAAATTAATTTGGTTCGAGTGTGATTTACATATGATTTGTTATTTCTTGATAGTTAACTTCTGGGTTTTCTCAGAACTCTTTGAGAACAAGGCTGAAGCATCAGCTTGCTTTTGAATATCTTGACAACGTTTATTTCATTTTCACTTAGAGGAGAAGAAACTCAGGCTATGAGAAATTAAACTTACTTAAATTAACTTAAACAGCTAGTAAGCAGTAGAGCCAGCGTTTAACCCCAGGCCTCTCTCACCTCAAAGCCACCATCTAGCTGCTTCAGTCCTTTTATCAGGAATGTTCAAAAAGAGAGGGTGACAGGTATCCCAAGTTCAAATTTCTATCTGAAAATTTAGCATTTTTGGATTCTTTATGAATTTCCCTAGCAGGCTGTCATACTAACTACTTAAAACAACCAGTCATTTGTTGTATATGCAAAGCATATACAGAGTGAATCTGGGGGTAAAGTACAGCCATGCCTTAGTTTATTTACTGGCTGCGAGGGCACATCTTCCTGTGCAGACAGTGAGGCTCGATCCCATGATGCCAGAGAGGAAAACAGAAGTGCGACCCCTTCCGTAGGAAGGAAACACTTCTGAGACTCCTCCAGGACACAGAACCACAAAGAAAGAGCTTAGAAGTCGCACCACATGTAAGTAGTCTTTCAAAGGGTGTAGATTCTAATGTAATTGTTTGGTAGTTGGAACCCACTGATGAATGCTTTAATTCAGAAATCCTTTGGGAAGATGAATAATCATTATCAACTTATCTGTTCATGGTTTTATGTATCAGATCAGCTTAAAACAGGATAGAACTATGCAATATATAAAAACAAAATAATATGTAACAACTATGTCATGACATCAGAAACCTAGCTTGTCTCAGCTCTGTTTGTAACTATTACCTAATGGTCATGATTTTTATATTCCCACTTTTTACGGTAGCCAGTGATAGAGAAGAGGTGCTGAATCTTGGCCATTCCGTATGAAGAGCACTGTACATTCAGTCTTTTCCCCAACACTTCTCAGATTCCAGTGTACATCAGAATTACCTGAGGTATTGGTTCAAAATTCAGATTTTTGGGGTTCCCCCTCAGAGAGTAATTTCATAGGTGCAGGGTAGTCCCAGAAATCTGACTTTTGAACAAGGGACTGCAGGTGACCGACACAGGTGGTTTTCAGACTGCCCT